AGTTAGTCTGTAACACCTAAATTTTAATTTTAATTAAATACTAATTTCGTAAATTTGAATAACTAAATTTTCGTAAGATATTTCAAAATAAGAGAAAGGTTACAAATTAATATCAAATAACTGCTACAGGACTAGTTTGATTACAACATTTTTTAAAATAAAGTCTAAGTCCTATAGCAGTCCATCTGTCCCTTCACTGAACCTGATGCTGATTGCCTTGATTACCTGAAAAATAATGTAAGGGTGAGTACTCTACACTACTCAAAACACACAATTAACTATAGAGTCTCACCTCCAAGTCATTTTAACACATTACATAGACATATTTACAGGTAGCATTATCACATAGTTCATTCTAGTGCAACACCGATGCACTCACGACATCCACAGCACGTCACATTCATAAATACAAATAATGACAACAATCCCGTGCATGCGCACGCCAGCCACGCTCACTATGGCACTGTGATCATAGATTCACACCATGAATGGTCGCCGATTACTCCCACTTCACAGATACCACATGAGCAGTCACGGGTCGCTCAGCAAAGGTAGGGGTCAGAGGTCTAGTCAGGAAGAGAGGGTGTTCCCATGGTGCACCTGTTCTACAGTCAGTGCCACCACCACTCTCCATTCCCCAAGGTATTTCTACTGTCCTCATCTTCCACACCCCCAGTGTATCGCTGAACCATTCATAGCACATTACAACGATGCTAACACGCCCATTCACACATATTCCATTCACGCATGCAATAATCACGCTTACACACGGCACACAGCCCACCTTGCATTTAAATACACAGCACTAGGCCCACATTCATTTCATATCACACGACACAGCCAATATTCATCTATCATGCAACATCTAACATACAATTCACATTTATTAATTTCGAGTAAACACACACAATATTCACATCTCACGGCACATGACTCTCATCACATTTCTCAACAATTTCTTACCCTCTCACTCAGTTACATCACAATATTCAACAATTAACAATAAATCACACATAATAGAGTGGGATAGAGTCCCCCTTTACCTTGGATTGAAGACCCACACTTGGATTCGACCTTGGAAATGCTCCCCACATAGATTTCAGCCTAGCCACATGGAAGAACTCTATGAGAACCCAAGGAAACCACAAAAAAAGAGAAAAAGGGTTGAAAAACGGAAACCCTAATCATTAAAACTCACCTCCAAGCGTTCCCCACACGAATTCAACCTTCAAATCAAGCTCCCAAATAGCTTTGGAGGCAATTTAATTGGTGGAAAAGGGTTTTGGGCCGAGAGAATCAAAGAGATTTTGAGAAATGAATTCTTAAACCCCAAACCCCCTTTCTAAAACCCCTCTAGTCGTGACACTCTCGCTACAGCGAGATAACGCCCTCTTGCTACAGCGAAAAACTCAGAGAAAACTGCACTCTGGTTTCTACAGAATTTCGCTACAGCGAGACCCTCTTGCTGCAGCAAGATTGTACCCATAAATGCGCCCCAAACTCTCACTATAGCGAGAAGACGACGGATGCATGCCTTTTACCCAGGGTTTTCTCGCTACAGCGAGATATTCTTGCTATAGCGAGAACGCCCTGCACCAGAACTTAGCCTATTTTCCTTCAGTCTAATTCCAGCCACAAACTCATATCATAATAAGGTCATATACATATATTTACATCACTATCAAGAAAATCAACACACATATGAATATATATATATATATATATATATATATAATTTATCAACATTACAAAATTGGAGCATTACATAGTCCATCAAAACTATTGAAACCTAAGAGTCATCCTAATTAAAATGTCTAAAACTCCTCTCAAGACCATGCAAATAATGCAGCAAAACTGTCATTTACTTTGAGTTTAATAACATCTTCCTCGGGAGGTTTTCAAACATCAATAATATATAGTCTTTCACTATTAATTTCATTAAGAAAAATATTGATTTGAGCATGCAATAGATGAATTTTATGCAAAATCTATTAGATCAACCAATTCGTACTTTGAAAAATGTAATTTTTTATCCAGCACTAAAACCAACAAATTGTTGATAAAAAGATAATTTCTTGTTGAAAAATCTACAATTAGGTATAAAGATTGTTTAATGATTGGTTTAATATTTAAAATCTGAATGAAACGTATAATAATATATATTTAGTATAATATGCGTTTCATTATGCATAATATAATAATATTATTAGTTCATATAAAAATTATTAAATGTTTTTTAAAATAATTTTTTTGCGTAAATAAATTTCAAAGACTTTAAATATATATCTACACACACAAAAAATAAGACAATGTAATCGAGGAATATATGTCACTTGTCAGGAATTTTAGTCTATAGTTCTTAAAATTCTTTATTTATCTATCTTTTTTCTTCATTCACCCTTGTTAGAAACTACCATCATTGGCCATTGTCTGTATCCTCTATTGGTGACTTCGCCGCCACCATCAAACACTTCTTCGCAGTCAAAACTTTGACCATTTTTCATGTCAACCTCATTGGTTTTCTTCCAAAACACTTTTGTTCCAACCTTATTGTCACAACATAGGTTGCAACATAATGACGCGTACTTTAAGAAATGCATCTTTTAGGAATAAAATACTTTTCTAATAATCAAAGAAGTTAACATCAAAGTTTATTATAGAAAACTTTAAAAAAACTTTTAAAATAATATGATCTTTGAAACAAAAAAAAGTAGGTTCAAAGTCATTTACATGTAGAAAAAGTATTAGCATCCTACAATGTCTATTTAAATAACAGTTACATTAAGTTAATTGTAAAAATTTATTATAATTTTAAAAAAATATTAATTTAACTCCTAAGTAATATATTTTATATGGTATATGTTTTCATTTCATTTTATTGAAATAAGCTATAGAGAAAAATAAACTTGTTTCACGTTCATGATTGATGAGTTAATGTTGGTGAGTTTGATATTTACTTCGTCTCAGTTGAGTTAATTAACATTCGATGGTAGCAACTTTGTCATCAATGAAGAATGCAGATGGTTGTCAGTGAGCGTAATTTTTGGTGAGAGAGAATGAAGAAGAATAATGGATAGATGAAAAGTTTTAAGAACCTAAGACTAAAATGTCTTTTAGTAACAATCTCAAATACTAAAATGCTTAACAGGTAACAATTTGAAGGACTAAAATAAAATAAAAACATATATCATATCATACATGTCACTTAACATGACATATCAGGATTTTGTTATTGTTTATTAATGGTGTCTGAGTCTAAGGACTAAATTGTCCAATAAAAATAAAAGTTAAGGACTAACGTGACATTTTCTAAGGACTAAATTGTCCAATAAAAATAAAAGTTAAGGACTAACGTGACATTTTCTAAGGACTAAACTGTTTAACAAAGATAGAAGTTAAGAACTAATGTGAAAGAAGAACATAAACATTTGTAAACAAAAAGGCTATTATATGCTATCAATGTGAAAAGCTAAGACACTACTAGTTTGAATGTTCAAGTCTAGAAAAGGAAGAAAACTATGTTGTGTTTAATAAGGAAGAGGAGATGCTCCTTTGATCACTAGTTGGAAAATCAAACGAAATTGCATAATTATAGATTAATTCTAATGTGCACTCCTTGTTTTCCTCAAAATGTACCCTAAAATACAAATATATTACACGTCTATATTCGCTAAAAACATAGTTTAATCTTTCTTCCCCCTTTAAAGAGAAACTCTTGTGATATTTAGGAAGAACTCAGCCTTTTAAGCAAGATCTCTCAAAAATCCTTTTACTAAACCTTCATTTCAAGATAAGGAGAGCTCTATTTTTTACACACTGTAGGTCTAAAACTTACATATATACATATATAGAAAAGAGTGATCTTCTCACACTAGTGTAAGTTTAAAAATTTTTATACTCAATCTGAAAACAAGTAATGCATTAATCTTGATGAAAGATATTTTTTTGGTCCATTTGCATGCTTTTGGAATGCTGTTTGACAATGTCTCTGATTTAGAATATGATGGATATCTTGGCTTTTTTGCTACATGAACATATAAAATATGCAGGATACATATTCTCCTATTAATAGTGTTAGAGTCTAAGAATTAAATTGTTTAACAAAAAAAGGAATTAAGGATTAACGTGACATTTTTAAAATTTTAAAGACTAAAATATTTGACACTTCATATCTCTAAGAACCAAACTGAAGTTTTAATCAAATTTATACTGAATTTTGTCAATCTATAGGCATTGTTTTTCATAATGAACACCATAGCGAGTTTATATTATGAGAGGTAAGAGACATTAATAATAACCATTGGATCAAATAATTGGCAAGAGAGAAGAGAATTAATTGCCAAGAGAGAAAAAAAAGTAGTCATTAATAATGTCTCTCGTTTTTCATAATAACAAACTCTTTTTACTTGAAATGTTCCTTTTATATATATATATATATATAGAAAGAATAACTTAATCTCCATAACTTTATATGCTTACAAATCCTCCTAACTGCTAAATTAAGAACGTTTAAAATCATTTTAATGCTTTGAAAATAATAAATGCATGTACTTTGTCATTTAATACATACTTTATAGAATAGTGGGAAGATAATTAAAATTTATAAGTCTATATGCCAAAGTTCATTAAGAAGACTTCGCTGAGAGAGGTAAAATCCACTCTTCTAATTCCTTGGAGAGAAGAGGAGAGGGAGAAACAGTGGACTCATGGCATTAAGCAGCTCAAACGGGTTATGACAATTGACAAGTTCTCAACGGTAAAACGGGGAAGATTTTTGGCTGGTTCAACATATCCAAGTCATTTTTAATTTCGTAGTCTGAAAGAAGGGAAAGACAAAGGGGTGAATCCACTTCATGAGTCAAGGCGCAATAAGAATCATTTAGAGGCACTTATCTTGCACAACCTTTTAGTTTCTACAAATCGCAGCTACTTAGATTTAGAATGGATAATGAATCCCATATACTGCGCTTGCTTTAGGAAAGCTAGGCAACACATATTAACACCACTACAAATTGAAGAATTTTCCATTTAATTATTTGAACATTTGATGGCTATGTTGCAACTTGCAGAAGTTAACAAAAATTTGCTATAATATATCATGTCAATCATAGTAACTTACCTGATAATAAGCGACGGTAGATGGGAAATTTAGTTCCTACAGAATGTCAGAAACCAAAAGCCAAAATACAACAATTAACAATTCAAAGCTACAGAACCTTCTTCTACAGCATGAACCAATTTATATGATTAACTATAACAATTTAAAAGTCTACAAAACAACCTTACTTTCATGCTGTCGTATGTCAAAGGCTGTAAGATATTCCATGGCAGCCGATGCAGATACGTTCTAATGCTTTACGGTATAGCTTATTTGAAATAATTGATGGAGCATTAAACTCTTTCTTGCACAAAAACAACTGGCTAAGAATAAGAAAAGAATTACACCAAGTTCCTGTTTTTTTGTACATTAGACCTCTGAACATAACTTCATCTATGAGCAGATGTATGTGGCATAGGGTATGGCACAGGAGCCAAGTTCATTGGTGCCCCTGGAACTACTGTCCCGGGAACTGGGGCCCCGAGACCATATGCCATGTGTGCCGAGGTAGGAAGATTCACTGGAGTGCCAACTGCGGATACAAGTGGTCCTCCTATAGGTTGCCCAATGGTAGGAGCAGCATATATTCCCACACCTGGGGTAGCAGTTGGGGTTGGAGGGGATGGTTTGGTTGATTTTCCAGCAGAATTTGCTGCAGAACCATTTGTTTGACCAGTAATTGGTCCTTGAGGTGCTGAAATGTCACCATTGTTCACACTGGTTATATCGTGTATGCTGGATCGCCTTCTATCTTTATTCATTGAGTTCAAACGAATGAAGTATTTTTGGGCATGGCTTGCTACTTGTGTAGGGGTTCTTGTCACCACGAAGTTCCTCGATATACTTCTCCAGTCACCTTTTCCATACTTATCCAAGCCAAGAAGAAATAGCCTGTTCAACCAATTTGTAAATATTTTAAGAACAAGAATAATTTGATAAAAGAAACCTTAGCATATGAAAGCATGCCAGGATACCAAAAGGAAAAGCACCATCTAATGAATAACAGTAACCACAAAACTGTCAATCCACATGCAACCACAGATCCTCAGTTCTTAACTTCCAATAGAAACCTCTAGAATGATCATGGTTGTTGATGTATCTTGTAGATGAAAATTCAAGATGGCATTATTCTCTATACATGGATATAAGTAACACTTTCTGATTAACAATTATGACAGGTAATGATACCACTAGTTTCAGCTTTGCAGCATCTTTAATAGCTTTACAGTTAATATGTTACTAACAGTAGTATGATTAATATCACCCAGTCATATTAGCAAGGCTAAACATTAAACATGAAAGCCAGAAAAATCTCATAGGTACTGTTAATTAATTGATACAAATTGAATAGTTTTATTCATAGATTTACCATATATGGAATAGGTAAGAGTCGAACATTAGACTTGATGCAGAGGTAATTTTGTTCTTAGAAACATAAAAGACCCAGAACCAACCGAGTTTATTTATATCAGAAGTATGTCCACCTATACTATGGAATAATAATTTCTGTCAATCACTCCTTAAAAATACCTGTAATGCAAATAGTGAATATAAAAGAATAGAGTCCTTATGATTGAGAGCAAAGAGAAGTATTGACATTGGCCACTCACTGATTTCCTCATTGTGCAAAGTTAAATTAAAAATACAATGTTCTTGGCAGCTTATTCCCAATTTAGTTATCAAACATTTGTAGATGGAAGATTGCAGTTCATGGATGTAAGAGAACTGTGATCGCTCAAATAATTTGAAATGATATTGATTTCTAGGGACCAAGAGGAATCATGGTTCAACGGATTAGAATTTATCACTCTAAACTGATTAAAACGGGGGAGGGGGAAGGGAGAGAATCCCAGCATGAAACAACAGGAATTTATTGTAAACCTTTCTAAAGAATCTTGTGCAAAGCAATAGAACATAATGAAGTATTGATATAGATAATGCTCCAAGAACAGTAGTAGGAGCTTTATTGATTTAATATAAGGTGCCAGAAAAAGGTTATGGCCTTGACTGGGTAAATTTTTTGAGAAGTTTTTATAGCAGAAAAAATCAGTATAAAAAATCTTTCATAAGTTAGAAACAACCTATACTTTTCTATTTTTTTTAAAAGTTTTGAGAATCCCTCTCATTTAGCTTATCTAAAATTTGAAGAGATAAGTTGTTTTTAACTTAAGAAAGGATAAGTTCACCCAAATAGAGCCTATGTAGGAATAGACTACTCCTGAATAGAATAAAAAAGACTAAAAAGTCAATCATATATTTGAAAAAAAAATGGCAGCGCAAGAGTATGCTCATTGCGAGGAAAGAGTAACTATGGTTTTTTTTTTTTGTTTGGCAGAGAGGATGCACCCTTAATGGGAACTTACTATTTAGCATACATGAAATCTAACTAATCCCACTCCTTTTATAGCTGTTCTTACTTTCCAACAGCCCAAAGTTTCAAATGTTTAGATAGGACTCTGTGAAATCATATTTAACAGTTGCCAAGATGATCAAATACTAAAATGGCATATGGCTTTGCAAAACAAGTAAAATTTATATTGAAAGATCACTTAGGTAAATGCAACTCAAATGCACGTAAGGCTTCAAACATGCACCTAGGGCATGTTGAAAGATCTTAATTTTGAGGTCAAAGGAAATTCATTTTTTTTTGCTGGGTTTCTCTTGAAATTCAAAACAAATCACAACTTCACAAGGGCTCTAAAGGTGAAGTGAAGGATAAAAGAACCAAAAATTTAGTAATGGATATTATTGCACTACAAAACACAGGAGGACCATAATTGTGGTTAATCCAGAATATGGTGAACAAAGATTAGATGGAATAAAATACTAGTGAGGCTACTACATTACTATATGCAGATGTAGAACATAATCTTTGGGGCTCAACCAAAGCACGATTTCTGACCAACCTCAGCTGCATAACAAATGTTATCTTGGGTTGTTGAAGGGGCTATAAAGAATGCTCAATGCTGGGTTATGGCTGTGAATAGAAGGAAACGTATGTGGCAGTCTAGGACCACCAGTCACTAGTGTTTCAAGTTTCAACATTGTTAGCCATTGAATGTGATGATGTAAAATTTTAAAAAATATTAAATGTATATTAAAATGTAACGTAACAGTACCTCAACAAATGTAACGTAACAGTACTTTTTCTAATGAGTCATTAACCATAAACTGGGTAACAGGGATTTGGGATAAAAATATTTCCTTTATTGAAATAGAAAATAGTTGGATAAGGTCTAAATCATCACACCTAATTTTCAAGGGATACAGACTTCATATTATTTCCTTAATTGTATATATAATGGAATAAAGATATTTTTAACCTTGACAAAACAATAAACTGTCAAACGGAGCTACTCACCCTTTATAAATTCAAGTATTTTATAAACATAACTAACTTCAAAGTAATGATGAATAGAACCTCACTTTCTCACTCTACACTTCTCAATTTAGAGGAGCTAAATCCTTTTGAATAGAACTAATGATGTCTTTTGTGACATGTTCATAGGGTGGGGTAGAAATGTAACTTTTATGTGATGTTTATTGGGGAAAGAAATTTGGATACGGGCATTTAAAAAAGTATATGACTATGATTTTTTATTTTTTATTTTTTACGAATGAGTTTTTTTTTTTCCATTTGTAAACTGACCCCATCCCATTGACAATTTGATATAATTATTCATTAAGGAAAAATGATTAATTTCTCTTTGCAAAATTATGCTTTTATGTAAGATAAGTCATTCAGGAAAAAAAATCATTTTAATATATCTAAATAGTTTGTAACTAAAATTTTCAAGAATTTTCCATATTCCACATCACATAGTACCAGGGTCACATTAAACAGGCTTCACAGGTTTTGACTTTCACTTTAAAAATCAAACTGTGACAGACACAACTCCTGATGAAAGAAAAAGTTCATAACACAAGTCCCACTCACAAGTTGTGTCCATGATTTCAAAAATCATCTATCACCTTCTAACACACATTTGAAAATGAAGCAATTAATTAACTTGTGGAGACCCAAATTAGACCCATAATCAGAATTTTCACTATTCCATATATATAATATCTTTAACAAGTCCACAACTTAAGTCTACTGTAAATATGAATTAATTCTACTTTGGAATATGCACCACAAGGGTGCTTGTGACACACATGCATGAATAGCTTATCCATCCAATGGCCAATACATGCCAACTGTTTTTGTGCTATATATTTTTATTCAAACCAGTGACCGTATTAGCAACACTGCAGTATACTTGATTTTTATTATTCAATAAAATCCACAACTTCACAAAATTTATCTAACAATTAACTGTCCACCTAAACATTTCTTTTCACAGCATATTCTATCTGGTACACATCCCAAAACTATCATAAAAATATCACTTGAAAACGAGATGCTAATTACTCCAATGCAGCATTATAATTTGGTTGTTGACAAACGTGGCAACTTGTGCTTTTCTTCTTCTTTTATTCTTAAAGACACGTATATAGAAATTTGGTCCTTGAAAGTGTCAATTTACTAGCAAGTTTATGCAACCAAGTTATCAAGTTATAAACAATTTCATTCCTCGAAGGACTAATTTGTAAAGAAAATCTTTCAGAGACCAAAGCAATACAAGTTGTCACTTCTAAGCACCAAATTACATGTTGACTCAATAATGTGTTAAACCATCTCAGTTTTAAGATCCTATGCCCTCAAATACTTAAATTAATTAATCACCTGTTTATAGGACCAGTGGACCACAGCATTAATCTAGATCACAAATGTTAAGAAGAAACTACAACAATAGCATTTTAACTCCTCTTGGAAATCATGGAGCTTGACAAGAAAAGGGATAACAAGTAAGCTTCTTGTCACAATTTCCCCTTCCACAGTATGATTGAAACTGAAATTTCAAAACTAAAATACTGTGACAAAAACAATCCACTGATGTAACATAAAATTATGACTTATGTCAATTGAGGAGGAAAGTACGGTTTAGTAAATTATTCTTAAAAACAGTACCTGTAAAAATAACTGTCAAAAGAATTATGATTGATTGGAAATTAAACTGACAAAGATCAGAAGAAATAATTTCTTAAGGCATATTAGGATCTTCTGATTGTATGAGTATGCCATGATACTCAGATTGCTTTTGATACAAAGTCTACAGCCATATATAAGTTCCAACTACTTAAAAGCATATGGTTGAAGAAAAAAACTTGAGACAGAAACAAATTCAAACATTATAAAATTAAAAATAAGTACTCTGCCACACACTATTTACTATAGCCATACTAAAAAAACAAAAGTTTTCTGAATATTTAAGAAAAGATAAACTAACCTGTGTTCATCCTCTGTCCATGCAATACCCTTTCGTCGTTCCTGATCTGATTTTGATGCCTTAGTTCCATGGTTAGATTCACTGTTACCATTCCATTGATGGCCTCCCTTCTTGCCAGCTCCTTCATCACTAGCATGGCTTGTTGAGCCCTCTGAAGAAGAATTATATAACGGTAAAGGCACACAACCAGATTCAATCTGATTAACATCTTCAACCAAGAGCTCATAGTGGCGTTTAATCTCTTCCAACGTTTTCCCTGGTACATCAGCAGCGATCTTCTCCCATCGGTCAGAAGCATCCTCAGGATGAATTGCCAAGGCATTTTCAAATGCTTTATCCTGTTCTTTGCTCCATTCAGAGCTACTACCTACTTCATCCACAGTCATCTAGTCTTCTTTGAATCAACTATGAAGATTTGTAACAAGACCGAGAGGAAGATTTCTATGTAACAGTTCAACAATCTAGATCAAACCCACATCTGAAATGCCACAAACACTTATTTTATTTCATGGGAATTATGGATCTAGAATATTTCTTTGATGAGTACCTTAACATTAACTTTCATGCTATGCTAAATTATTGGAGTAGATATGTTGGACTACCCAGTCCAATCCAGTCCTGAACTCGAGCCCACTAAGGCAGAAAATGTCAGGAAGCAGAACAGAGTTCAATACCAAATAAATCCCAAAACACTCTGAGGTATGTAAAATTTCAAGGGTGACTTTGCTTCAGAGTTCAAAAGACTGGACTCTTGTGAATTGCATACCTATTGATGAATGAAAAGCAACGAAGTACAGTTAGGGCATGAGAAATATCTGACAATCATAAATACAAAGATGCAATACATGGCATTTTAAGGGAACTGAAAATTGGACATGATGTGAAGTTAGTCAATGAGATGGTAATTTAGGGCTTTGGATGTCTAATATACGAAAGAGACATTTCATAAACAAACAAAGTAGAAAAACCAGGAAAGACTGTAATATAATGGATAACAAGAGCATTCAAATTGCAATATCCCATACTTTGGGAAAAATAAAAAAATCTAAAATATCCATAGCCCTACTGATAACAACAGTTCTAACAGCACTGGACCACAAAAATTTATCTTTTCCACAATAACAAAACTCTGTAACTGTAGTAAATCTCACTTTTGCTAAACACAATCACCACCCTCATATTTGTTATTCTGGCAACATAGCAGACAGTAGCCCATCACTCAACGTTCAAAGGCTTCAACCATGAAGAAATAAACAAAGCATCAAGTCCAAGCTAGCACCATTAAGACTTCTAAGGTTGAAGTATCAGAAAAACAAAAAGGTTACAAGAATATTTGAATAATATAGTGATTATTAAATGATTTTAATGTCTTTTCTTCCGGCTTGTGTATCAATAAAACCATTCAAGAGTCAGCTAAAATGTCCAATCTCAACAGTTTGATCAAACACCTTAGTCAGAATCCCAGTTCAACATACCTCATGGTAAAATAAACTGTAGATTCCTTTCACTTGGTGCATGGCTATGCTATTTATCAGATCTAAAAATGATTAGCAAGTAATCCCCTGAAAAACATAGCAGGCCAAAGCTACAACCAGCACAGCCAAGTATCTGACACTCTTAACCAACCAGCATAAGTTTTTTTTCCTTTCACACCATTTAACACATTCAATTCACAGTCAAGTAAAAACCTAATTCTAACTGTGAAAGGCTTATTATTTTTGTATCGGTTATTTCTTCAAATTTTAGGTAAAAATAATCTTACATATTTCAAAACATTTCATTATGATTTTGAATTATTTTTAGCCTAATTGAAAGATTATAAAGTGAAATCAATAATTAGCCTAATAAAGGCAGATAGAGAGAATCAAGATATTAAGGAAAAAGAAAAGGTAAAATAAGAAAACAAAATCAGATTTAATAAAGAAAAACCAAACTGGGTAAGAATATATTAAGAGCAGAACTTAGAAATCATAAATGACATTGATGGTTATCCTTAGATACCACAAAGAAGTGCAAGATGGGTCACAATTGGTCCCATCCCAACAATAGCTTTACCACAAATAGGACAGCTGGGTTTGAAAAAGCCAGAACCCAAGTTGCAAATCACTGGAATCTGCAGGACGCATTAATATCTGACATATGATAAAACATGAAGAGAGAGAAAGAAAGATAAAATTGAGGAATAAACCAAAAGGAAAGTTAGAGAGAGAAAAAGATTGGATTTTTTTATACCCCTTTCGCTTTAACTTATTTTCCATATCCTAACAAATTGAAAAATAGAAAATGATATCAAGTAGCAGAAAATCAGGTAAGATAACATAGCAGCATACGAAGCAGAAAATGATTTAAAATTTATGGTTATGATTTACAGGAGTTAGTGAAAATAACGAAGTCATTACCTTTATCTTCCTCCTGCTGTGCTATAATCTTTTGGCTGCAAACTACCTTCAGTTCTGGGAGACTGTTGCACACAGAAAAGAGTCAAATAAAGCTGGGTGTATATATATATATGTACTGAACTGGATCAGTGACATGCTTCTCTCTCTCATGATCTGATTCTGATCCCCTTTTTTGGAGCTATTATTCAAAGGCAAATTCTTTTTATCTTATCACAACAGTAGATGCATACATTCCAAATAAACTAATAATAAACGGGTGATTGTTTAAGAAAATTAATCATGAATGATTGAATTTTATCTTTCTAATATGCTTATATTATATTATATGTAAAATGGGATAATAATTAATTAAAGATGTTACCTTTTTTGGCTGTTTAGGATAAAGTCCACGTTATACTCCCAATCTAGCCAACTTGCCACACCTTGTGGTGAATCAATCATTGCCTACCACATCAGCTTCAAGTCAAATTTTGCCGGCTAAAATGAAAGGACCAAGAGATTGCACATGGAATGGGACATTGAATAATTATGTCTATTTACATGCTTGTAAGGTTGTAATATTTTCATTGGGAAAACATTCTTGTAACCAACACCTTGTTCTTAAGGTATTTTTGTCATATTTTTATATTTACACTTGCTTCTTATTAGTGTGTACTTTCAATCTAATAAAAAAATTTAATTATAAATTTAATTTTTACGTGAAAAAAATATTACATTTCCATTTTATATAAAAAAAAATTTAAATCAGTTTTTACCCTTTAACTAAATTAAAATGACATAAAATTTAGTCTTTTTACTTAACTTTATTTTTTATTTTAATTCTTATCCTTGCTTTTTAATTTGCTCTAACTATATAAGAATTTTATATTTTAATCCCCACAGATATCATAACAGTTGTTGTTCCGGTCCTTATATTAAAATTGCACTAACATTATAACTTCGATAAATAGTTAAGATCAATTTGTAAAATTATTTTATCCATAAAAATCAAAACAAGGACTCTTTTATACAGGAAATAAAATTAAAAAAAAACAAGTCAAGTATAAGAACTAAAATTAGAATTTAATCTAAAAAGTAATAGGATTTTAAAATTAAATTAAAAATAAAGTATAATAAAATAAAATATTTTAGTCATTGAATTTTCTATTTTCTATTTAACTTAGTTTGTTATCTACTTAACATCTAAATTGACTTATATAATATGAGTTAGATGATGTGTCATTAACAGCATCATTTCCTTTATTTTTGTCAAATTCCTGTATCAAACCCTAACTTTAAATCTTATCATTTCATGTATAATTTAATAGTTGTTTGCCATTTAAGAGCAACAATATTGATATTGATGTGAACTATTGAAGAAAAAGTCACAAAAATTCAATAATAAATTTGAAATTTTTTGAAATAATAAAATTTTATATAACCTAAGTTATATGAGACAAATGTCACAAAGAACGAATTTCTTATAAGCTTGAGAAAGTTTTTAGAAGAATTTGAGAGAAAATAAATTTTTATTTCTTGAATTATATATATATATATATATATATATATATATATTTCAATTTAGAAAAGTGTTAACTTGCCTAATGTTTATAAATGACATATTAAAAATAATATACTTAATTACCCTAATTAATCATGTATTGATAAAAGAAAGGAAAAACATAAAATCTCACTAATTATTCTAATAACAACTAGTTACATTCAACATAATAACATAATTAAAATCAAATTAAGTTTGTCTATGTATGGATCATGCTTCTTTGGTGTTCTGGTCCAAGTCTTCTTCAATTATCTTTAGTCCAAATAGAATTAATAATATGGTTAGGTTCAAATTCTAGAAGAAAATTTTGCTTGTCCAAAGTTATATCGTTCGCTCGTTTCTTAAAACAAATTCATCCTAGAATCTTTATTTCCTATGTTAAAGAAAATTAAGTTAAATACATTAAAAGTGACATGGTTGTCATGCTTACCTAAAAGATATATTTTTGTAAGCATTGTCATTGATCTTGTTAAAGACTTGAAAAGATCTATCTCCTCTTGGTTACAATTTTAATTTCCTTTGTCCTTAAAATATTTCCTTCCTTTGTATACCTAAAATGAACTTAAACTTAATCACTAGGTTGGAAAGTAACATTTGTGAGAAGAAGATCTCATTTATTATGGTAAAAGGGTTTTGCTGAAGACAAGAATCTATCTATCAAAGGTTTAATTCAAGTTTATGTTATAAACATTTTACTTTGCATATTATAGTTAATTTGTATGCATGATAATCTTGAAAGAATTTTTAATTTAAGTGCTCTCATGGTTAAAATTTAAAAAGTTAAAATATTTATTACTCAATTAAAAATCAAGGTTTACATATTCAATTAGCTCATTTTCATTTGACAAACTATCTTAGTAATTGATTACTAGATTGGGTAATTGATTAGCAATCTATTTTCCTGATTTAAAAATTAAAATTTTCAATACAAAATCATTCAGTAGTCGATTACCAAGAGTAGTAATCGATTATCAAATAGGTTTGTTTGTGAAAAATTCATTTCCTTTGGTATAGAACAACTCATTAATTGATTTCCAGAATCAGTAATTGAATACCATTCAAGTCTATTTGGTAATAATTCAATGGTTTGTCAAACAAAACCATCCAGTACTCGATTACCAAGAGCAGCAATCGCTTCTTGAATAGTTAACTTCTGTTGAAACTAAAAATCAATTAATTCTATTATATAAATGAGTTGCAAAATTTATTAAAAGACAAAGAAAAAAAATTAAGCACATTCAATCACTCCAACTAATTTGTTTTCATGAAAGCATTTTGATCATCCAAGCTCATGTTCTAAATTCATTTTCTTATAAAGGAGTTTGAGTTCTTCTGTTGTTTTCTTTTCTTGTTATTGTTACTTGTTGAGAGTGTTGATTATTGCTGGTAAGGGATCTCACAAGGTTTGTAAAGCAAGAAAGGTATTCTTGCTTATTGGAAGTCTTCAAGTGAGGTATCTTGAAGCAATTGTTGTATCAAACTCATTGATTATAGTGAAGAAACTCTCAAAGGTGTTTTGAAGACTAGATGTAGCTCTCACGTGGTGAGAGTGAATCAGTGTAAATCTCTTGGGTAATCATATTTAATCCTAACTCTTTTAAATTTATGTTCTGCATTATCAATAGTTTTTTGTTTAAATGATTTTACTGCACAACTATGTTTTTGTTTAAAGATTTGTATCACATCTCATATTAATTCATCAGCTTCATAATTATTGTATTACATTTCTTCTATTAACTATTGTAGTTAGGAAAATTGATTGGTGTTCACTTTTACAATCTAAAGAATTGTTAGAACCTAATTTATCCCATCTTAAGTTTAGAAGCCATAGAAACTATCAACATTCTTCCTTTCTTTATTTGCCTTTAATGCATCTTTGTATTGGAATTCTCAATTTGCTATTTTACTATTTCATGTAACTTTTCCACAATTTTAATTTTCTCCTTTCCACCTAAATTATTTTATTACATGCATAGGTAATTCCATTAAATTCAAAAGTGTAAGATGATTAAAACGATAAACTATTTTAAATAAAGTTTCCTATAATTGTATGAACAAAACGATTATGTGCAAACTATAAATTGCAAGAATTCTTCCCATAACTTTTCATCTTTAGAGATGATAGCACATATAGTTCTAACAACTTCTCTTCACAACTTTACTTTTTGGAATTTCATGTAGTCTAACAAATTTTTTGAAAAATAAATTAGCTATTGACAATAACACCATGAATTTTTTTCATGCAATAAAATATGTAATTTTAAAAAATTAGTCTACAATTATTAAGAATCTTTTCATCGCTTAGACATAGGCTTCTCAAAACAAAATTCATGGATAAATCTACCCAAGGTTCAGTAGGTATTGGTAAAGTAGTGTATAGACTATGTGACCTAAGTTTGAATTTTATTTTCTTACATTGAACACATTTAGTGCAAATTCTTTCTACATCTACAACAAATTCCTTTTACATCTATTTTCATCTTAGGCCAAAAGAAATGTTCATGCAAAATATACAGAATTTTTTTAACATCAAATTGTCTCGTTAATCCACCTTCATATACAGTTCTCAAAATTAATTGTTGCATTGAACAAGATAGAATGAAAATCTTACTTTCCCTAAATAGAAAATCATCAACTTTATATAACTTTTCAAATCATTTTTTTCACATACAATATACACAATGGGTCTTTTCTCTCTTGGCATTCTTATATTGGAGACACTGAACATTTATAGAGGGGGGAGAAAAAAGGCCGACACATCTGGAGAATGGGAATTGTAAGAAATAGACCAGCTGAAAGTCTTGCTCTGGGATTGAAAGGGGCAATCATATGATCTTGGTCAAGTACAGTCATTATTTTCTTTTCTTTATGTTGATTATTATTTTCTACCATTGTACCTCCAAACTTTTTCCTATTTCTCTTATTGCTCGGGCTCATGAAAATCACATACGCACGCTTACCTTTCATTCATTATTGTCATCTTCATATAGGTTAGTCAGTGGGATTGAGGAAATTAGATAATAGGCCAATGAAGCTATTCACAAATTTGAGAAAGGAATAATTAAGCCCATGCAGTGGATCTAAGTTTCAAATTGGTTTGCTTTAATCTATTAATATTGTTAGTAACAATGCATAAAATCTACGTCATTTGTTCTCTATATTGTAACTTTTAAGTAACTTTTAGTAGTTTGTATGAATTTAACTTACAAATTAAATCAACTTGATAATAAACTCAATATGCTATACTAGATCGTGGAAAAATTTAAAATTTATGAATTTATAATTTGGTTTAAAATTTATTGGTACAAAATTTGAAATTTTAGGAGATAGACTAAAGTTTTATTACGACAGATTTCGCACCGTTGTAAGCTCATGTTTTAATTGATAGCAGCAAAAGAAATTACTATCATCTTATTTTCTATTTTTTTTATTTTTATTTTTGCAAAATATTATTTCTTTATCATTCGCACGTTGAAAAATCAAATGCCTAAATTTTTTTCTCATGATAAAATAAATAAACAAATTTTATTTTAAGAATTATAAACTTCTAATGTTTCATGCAAAATAAAATAAAGAAATCAATTTTTATGATTCGTCATAAGTTATGTAATGATTTACAATATAGATGTATAGAATACTCTATCATTTGCATGTTATAAATTATAAGGGTATCAGTTTAGCTACACTATCTAGTACCATCTGCATGTGAATTATCTTGAATTTCAAATAAAATTAACAATTGTTATGTATAGATTATTCTATCATTCACAAATTGTACAAACA